TGGTGGTCATCAAAAAGCTGCTGCAGATGCAGCCAGCCCAGCACAGCGAGATCATCAAACACATGGCCAAGCTCACTGACAACATCCAGGTTGGTTGGGGTGTTGCTGACCCACAGGAGAGGGGATGGCAGCAGTGCCACATGTCCGAGGCCATTTTACAGGTGCCAATGGCACGGGCCAGCATCTTGTGGCTCATCGGCGAATACTGCGAGCACGTGCCCAAGATCGCGCCTGATGTGCTGCGCAAGATGGCCAAGTCCTTCACCAACGAGGAGGACATCGTCAAGCTGCAGGTCATCAATCTGGCAGCTAAGCTCTACCTGACCAACTCCAAGCAGGTACCGGGGATGTGATCCTAGGGTGTGCCTCAGTTTCCCTGTCAGGGAGGGAGAGGCCAGCCCTGAGCATGTTATCTGACACAGAGCAAGCTGCTGACCCAGTACGTCCTCAACTTGGCCAAGTATGACCAGAATTACGACATCCGCGACCGGGCTCGCTTCATCCGCCAGCTCATCGTGCCCACTGAGAAGAGTGGGGCCCTCAATAAGTATGCCAAGAAGCTCTTCCTGGCCCAAAAACCGGCTCCGATCTTGGAGTCTTCCTTCAAAGGTACCCAACCTTGGTCACAGGGCATTGGGACATGGGGTGAGCTGTCATCACAATGCTGCATGGCTGTCCCTGAGTTGCTGCCTCCTCTCACCTCATTGTAGATCGGGACCATTTCCAGCTGGGCTCCCTGTCCCATCTGCTCAACGCTAAGGCTGTGGGCTACCAGGAGCTGCCTGACTGGCCGGACGAGGCCCCTGACCCCTCCGTGAGGAATGTGGAGGTGTGTGGAGCACCCTGGGTGCATGGGGAAGGAGGGGCCATAGTGGGGACACTGACTCAAAGTCTTGGAAGAGCCCCAGAAGGTACCCAAGTACTGCTCACCTGTCCAAGTTCCCTCTCTAAGCTCATACATCTGCTTGGGGATGGGGGGACAAGGGTGGCTGTTTGGATCCCCCAGTCATGGGTGATGGCCCTGCTCCATCAACCCTGTGCCAGCAGGTTCCTGAGTGGACCAAGTGCACCAGCCGGGAGAAGAGGAAGGAGAAGGTGGAGAAGCCTTTCTACTCTGACTCAGAGGGCGAATCGGGGCCTACTGAGTCGGCAGACAGTGGTGAGGACCTGATGGCATGAGACATTGGGCAGTGGTCACTGTGACCATCAGGCAGGTGCCACAATGGTGGGGCATTGGACAGGGGACATGACAGTGGGGACACCCCATCATGGGAGGGACATGGTAGGAGATGTGGAGGGATGCAGTGGTGGGCAGTGAGGACACAGTGGAATGCCGTGAGACTATGCAAGGCTGAAGTGGGAAGATGCAGTAGAGAGGCAGCAGCAGGTGTGGGATGCAGTGGGACGATGGAAGATGTAGTGGGATGAAGTGGAAGATGGGAGAATGTGGGGGGACACAGCAGCAGGGCTGAACTGTGCCCCCACAGAGCCTGAGTCTGGCAGTGAAGAGAATGGCAGCAGCAGCAGCTCTGGCAGCTCCAGCTCTGGCACCGAGGAGGAGGAGGAAGAGGAGGAGGAAGACAGCGGGGAGCAGTCAGAGGACAAGGAGGAGGAGGAGGAGGTGGAGAAGAGGCCAAAGAGGAAGGACAAGGAAGGCTCCCATAAGGCAGTCTTGAGGACCACCGGCAGGTACACCCTGGGAAGGCAGGGGGGTGCTCCCAGCAAAACCTCCGCCCTAGCCCCCTGAGCTGGGCTCTCCCTGCAGCCCCAGCGAGGAAGAGGAGGAAGGAGGGGCAAAGAAGGCCAAGAAGAAGGCTCCTCAGGGGAGGAAGGGCCGTGCCGAAACCTCATCAGAGGAGGCCAGCACCTCTGAGAGCAGCTCCTCTGGCTCCGACTCGGGCTCAGAGGCAGAGGCCAAACAGAGGAAGGTGATGAGGGCTGGGATGGGATGGGCTGGAATGGGAGGCTGCACAGGGATACCTGTACCCTCTACTGAACTCCCCATCTCTGCCCCCCTGCAGCCCCTCAGCAGCAAGGCCAGCCCTAAGGAGATCTCCCTGCTTGACCTGGATGATTGTGAGTGGCTGCTTGGAATATACAAATTACTGTGCTGGTGGTGCTGGGGAAACTGAGGCATGAGCACTCATCCCAGTGCTATCAGGACTCCACAGCTCCTTTGGGAGCTGCAGAGCAGGGACAAGGACAGGTGTGGTCAGGGGTCCTTTTCCCCAGAGGATGGCTGTGGGACAGGTACCTGTGCCTATTGGATTGTCCCCATGTGGCCATGCACAGGGACAGCCTTCAGAGTTATGTCTACGCCAATGGAGCTATGCCACTGGGCTGTCCTTGTGTGGCTCTCCCCATGAGGCCGTGCCACCATGTCTGCCCCATATGGCTGTCCCCATGTGGTTGTTCCCGTGTCACTGTTCCACCACAGCTCTCCCCATGCTATTGTCCCCATGGAGCTGAGCCACTAGAACTGTCCTTGTGTGGGTGTCCCCATGGGGCTGTGCTCACAGCCATGAGGCTATGAGCTCTGTTAACTCTTTCCTCTCCCCACCCTGCAGTTACTCCCCCTCCTCTCCAGCCCATTCCCTCCAGCAGCATCATCTCCACCAGCCTGGTGACCGACCTGGAGGGCCTCACTCTCACTGACACCTCCCTGACACCCACTGTAAGTGTCCCCCATGCCCTCCCTGGGGAGATCCCAGGCCCCCTGTCACCTATGGGGGCTCCTGAGCCCTGTGCCACCCACAGGGGTTGCAGGGAGCCCTCAGCAGCCCCTGCTGTCCCCTGGTGCAGCTGCTGAGCCCGGCGTTCAGTGCAGTGAAGACCTATGAGCTGCTGCACCGCATGGCAGGCGAGGGGCTTGCGGTTGAGTACTGCTTCAGCCGCCGGCCCTTCCCGGGCGACCCCCACATGGTGGCCGTGCAGATCCAGATCTCCAACAATACCGACACCGAGGTGAAGAACCTGCGAGTCAATGAACCCAAGCCACTGTCTGGCATGCGGATACAGGAGTTCCCTGAGATTGGTATGGCATGGCACGGCATGGCCATGGTGCTGTGGGAGAATGGGGACAGGGGTTGGGTCAGAATGTGGGATGTAGTGGCAGCCCTGTCGTTCCAGAGCACCTGGCGCCAGGGGACACAGCCAGTGTGGTGATGGGCATCGACTTCTGTGACTCTACGCAGGCAGCAAACTTCCAGCTGTGGTGAGCATCTGGCACCGGGCAGGGCGGGATGGGTGTCCCCAGGGATCAGGGCATCAAGTGCTCCAGAGATGGGGAAAGTGGGATAGGTATCAACATCCTTCCATGTGGCAGGGGCAGGGGACAGCAGAAACAGGGCATGGGGTATCCAGGGGATGGAGGACAGCAGGACAGGCACCAGAGTCCTTCCAGGGAAGAGGAGACACTCTGATGGGCATGGGGTGGTCAGGGAACAGCAGGAAATGCACAGGCCTCCCTGCAGGGGACAAGGAGTTAGCAGCAGCTCCAGGTCCAGCCTGACAGATTCCCTCCGTTCTTCAGCCCTTTGTTTCCCCCAGTCACCCCTGCCCAGGGCAGGGATGAGAACCAGGACATGGAGAGGGGACAAACTCTGAGCACATGCTCGTCTCACTGCCTGTCTCCCCAGCACCCACACACGCCAGTTCTACGTCTCCATCCAGCCACCTGTGGGGGAGCTCATGGCCCCTGTCTTCATGAGTGAGAATGAGTTCAAGAAGGAGCAGGGTGAGTGGGGCCGGGGATGGATAAAGGGTGCTGCACAGGCACCCACCACTGACAGTCACCCCCAATTTTGTCCCCTCTGCCGCCCTCGGTGTGGCCCTAGAGCACCTGGCACGGCTGGGTGAGGGTAAGTGGCTGCTCGGCTGGCCCCTAGACTAGCTCTGCTCCCCTCACCCACTCCTTCACACCCAGCCTGTGGGCTGGGATGACCACCCTGGTGCCACGGTGGCCTTGTTGGATCCCCACAAAGCGTGAGGGGCTCATGCCACCCCTGGCGCTCCCAGAACTGTGTCTGGTGAGTGACACCCTGTGTTCTCGTGCTTCTGGATCAGCACATCCCCACCCTGACCCCATGGATGGGGGTCTGTGTTGAGTGGGGGTGCTTGGTGCCCTGCAGCACCTGGTCCCATTGCTGCCACTGTCCAAAGGAGCCAATCCCCAGGGATATGGCTGCTGCCACTGGACAGGGATATGGGGATGAGCCCAGGAAGGGCTATGAAGGATTTTCCCAAAACCACTGAATCCTGAGCCAAGAGTGAGCAGAGCAGCCAGCTCAGGATGTCATGGGGAACCTGAACGCAGGGAGCTGGAGGGGCTTGCTTTGGGCATGTCAAAGCAGGGCCCAGCAGGGTATGTGGCCAGAGATAGGCAGGTGCCTCTGTTACCTGCTCTAGGGAAGCTGATGGGCATGAGTGAGATCACAGAGAAGTTGACGCTGCCTGAGAAATGCCAAAGTGACCATACCATCGTCCAGCAACTGACCTCGGCTGCCAACGTGGGCCGCGTGCCCTGCGGTGCCAGCAATGAGTACAGGTAGCCGGACCCCCCCCACCTGGATCAGACAGGCGCTGTCAACTCTCCATTCCCACCCGAATCACAGCGGGGACACTCGGGGCTTCCTTTAGGACAAGGAGCCTGCATGAACCCAAATGTGACAGTGGCCGTGGGTGGCCGGCGCCTGCCTGTCCCCACTGGAGCATCCCATGGGACCAGAGGGTGGCAAGGGACAGCTTGCTTTGAAGCCATGTGTTCACCACCCAACAGGTTCGCGGCCAAGACGGTGACAAGCGGGAGCCTGGTGCTCATCACCCTGGAGCGGCGGGAGGGCTCCACGGCTCAGCTGACCATCAACAGTGAGAAGATGGTCATTGGCACCATGCTGGTGAAGGACATCATCCAGGCCCTGGCACAATGACAGCCGGGCATTGCCGCACTCATGGCCCTGCCCTCCCACCCTTTCTGCCCCATGCTGCTCCTCAAAACACTCCCTTGCCCCCGTTTCTGCCAGGTTATTCCCTGCCCCAATCCCAAAAGGAGCAGCAGACAGCAACCCTCGGGCCGGCTTTGCTGCTGGGTGGAAGGAGCAGGATGGGGCATATGGGATGCAGGGAGGTGTCCTACTTGGAAGGGCAGAAGCAGTTTCAGCCCCCATGGAGCACAGTGTGCCCCCAGTCCCTCACCATCATCTCCCAATGTAACCCTTATTTATTATGTCCAGGATCTCCCAATAAAGCTCTTCTCCAACCTGCTCCTTTTCCCTCCTCTGCTCTGTGGGCACATCAACCCCAGATTCCCCCCATGCCTGGCTCTGCCAGCCTCCCCAGGGCATCCCACAGGGGACCAGCCATCCCTTAGGTGACTGGAAACATGCAGAGTCTCCCAGGGGTGGGTGGCTGCTGAGTCCTGGAGAAAACCTGGCACATGGCGTCGGGGTGAACCCCCTGGAGCAGGAGGTGCTCAGTTGGACCAGGCATCTGAGGAGTCTTGGGAGGTTTCCAGCTGAATTGCTCATGCTTCAACCGCAGAAATATCTGCTATGTCAGTGCTGGGTCTGTTCTGCAGCGTCACTGGAAAGATTCCTGGGGCCAGCTTGGGAAGGGTTTTCATCTCCAAACTGGGATTACAAAAAAAAAAAAAAAAAAA